TTAAAAAAAAAAAAAAAAGAGTTGGGAGTGAGTGAATTTGTAAGAGATTTTTTTTTAATCTTGGTTATGTAATGAAAGGTAATTATTTTATATTCTTTATTTCACGCCACTCATATATCATATAACTCGAATTCATAAATTTTTATTTTCAACGAAAAAAAATTAATATTAAATTATTTAGATCGTTCGCAATTTATAAAAGATTATTAATTATCTTTAGAAATGTTTTGCATAGTCCGATCTATTCTAAATTATACAAAACCAATTCTAATAAAATGATATGCCCTACCTTCTCCCATCTAATGCTATGATTCTAAAATTTAATGCATATGAAGTATACAACTAAAAACTCAATTAATTTACTTACTGTCCTTTTAAGTTGAATGAAAAATTCAACTCATGCTCTTTTTTCAGAAGACCCCACCCCAATTACAGAACAGATTTGGGCGGCAGGATATGATATGGTCGATCCAGGAAACGAAAAAAAGTCCTGTATTTGATGTTGGTGTTTGAGAGATATGTTAACAATTAATGTTCTTTCTTGAATCTTGGTGTGTAGAAAGTAGACTGATTTATATGTTTTCCTAAAATTGTCACAATTAAAAGCTAAATGGCTAAAATCACTAGAATTATCATTTTGAGTACTAATACGACTAAACTCTTATTAATTTATGTCAATTAACCCCAGAGATTACAATTTACAATTAGCTTAACATAATTTGATAATAATTGTTAATTTCATTATTTCATTTTATTAAGTGAAAATGGGCCGAGGCTCAAATCCTGCTCTTCAGGTTCAAAGGCCAACATGGGCTTTATATCAGTCATTTCGACTATGAAATTGGATCGGGCTCTGGCTCCGGTCTCTTCGTTTTTAGGCGAGTCAGTGACGGTAACCTCTTTTTTTTTTTTTTTTTCTAATGCTACCCACAAGATGTCTATTGTCTATTGTCTATTTTTTTAGTTCATTTGTATTCACATCCACCTAAAATTTGAATCTAAAATTTTTATTTTCGAGAGATTTAATTTCTTAACCACTGAAACATCTGCATAAGTAGACTAAATTTATTACATGGAAATATAAGCTTGACATTGTTGAATTTTTAGAGTGAACAAGAATTTAAGAAATAAACAAAATGTGCTAAAAATACACTGCCATGAATGCATGGCCCTCCAGCTGTATCGCCGACAGCCAATCCTTAAAAAAATAAATAAGACACATGTCTTTTCATTTTCGGTAATATTGGAAAAGTGGGAATTAATATATTTTAATATTTAAAATGTTAAAATTATTTATATATTTTAAATATTTTTTTATATATTAATTAATTAAAAATATTGATAATTTTTTCCGTCATTCTTACATTTTCATTTTTTTTTGGGGTAAATAACATTTTAATTGTTAACAAGTCATTTTAACTGTTTTTTTTGGGCCAAAAGTCATTTTAAATTTGGAATTGGATGAGATGCACTTTGTACCATTACGATTATGATTGGCAAAAGTCTACTTTTAATCCTCCTTTTTTTAAGTTTGAAAGTTTTAGCTATTTATTTTATATTATAATATTTTTAACCCCTCATCTTATTAGATTTATAAGTTTTAATCCCTCACATTATACTATGACATTTTTAATCCATTACATATTAAAATTAAAGAAAATAACCCTTATTTTATAACATTTCGTTAGTTCTATTAGCTGACTGTTAACTCTATTAACTGACTGTTAGTTAATTGTTAACTGTCAAAAACCTTCTTTCAACTAATATAACTAACTTTATAATATTTCATTAATTTTGTTAATTAACTATTAGTTAACTGTTAGTTGATAAAAATCTACTTTCAACTAACAGAATTAACAATCAATATAAAGTGATGGTTATTTTCTTCGATTTTAATAGGTGAGAGATTAAACTTATAAATCTACTAAGATAAGGAGTTAAAAATATCATAGTATAAGGTAAGAGACTAAAACTTTTAAATTTAATAAAGTGAGGGGCTCAAAATAGGTTCTTGCCCATAATGATTTGGGTCATGGCTGTGAACAACCTTTAGTTGTAAAGTTTGCATTTTAGTAATTGGGTGGGATTATTGTTACACTCTAAATAATTAATGTCATACTTTTTTAATATGATTATTTATAATATTTTTATATAATTTTTTTCTCAAAATTTTATATTTTTTTAATAGATTAAAAGGTATAATGATTAATTAAAATAAAAAGATATGAGATTAATAATTGAGGGTGTGGTAATAAAATCACTCTTAACAATCCCTTGATTATTTAGTTAGTCATATTGGGGTGTTGGTGTTAATATGATACAATAGAAAAGCTTAATGATTTTGCTCAATATTTGAACAAAACGCTCCCTTCTATTTGCACTCTATTCATGCTTCAAGATGCTAATTAGGTCTTTGGTATTACAACAAATCTAAGCAAAGAACAATATTGAAGTTGTGAAAATTAATATGTGAATTTCAACACAAAACTTATATTCAATTTAAATTCAATTTGTTATAAACAAAGTAGCATTTCTTGTATTTAATTATTTTTTTTGTTATTTTATCGATATGAGATTTTTTCATTTAATAGACCTCTTCACATGTAGATTTGGTATTAACTTTAAGTACTATCACATAAATTTTAGGTTACGAATTTAAAAAACATAATGAGTTCAAATTTTTTTCTTTATGTTGGTTTATGCTAACATTTTTTTTTTAATCTATGGTAATTTATCATTGTACTTTAGCATTTAATTTTTATTTTACGCTATGTAATTTGTAACATGTGTTTCATATAGTGCTCCCACATAAGAGGGGAAAGGTGTAAAGGCTCAAAACTAGTGGAAGTATAGTCCATTGTTTGCAAAGTGATGGATTACATATGCCATTTCAAAAGAAGTTAGAGACGAAAGTGTCTCAAGTTAGAGAGGTTGAGAACCTATTTAGAAATTTCTTCATAATGAGAAAAGACCAGTCAAATGCAGAGAGTTTTGCATGGGGAACCATTGCATTCTCTCTCTTCCCCTGCTCTCTCTATAAAAACCGTTGGCCTGACTACTTCGTTTGTCACAAAGCCTCACTTTTCTCGACTGCTACTTCTGCCCGTATCATCAATTCAACACCCCGAGCTTCCCCCAGCCTCTCCCCCATCACTTTCTCGAGAAAATTGCAGTTCTCCCAATTCCAAAACACCCCAAGATGGCAGCTTTTTCATACCAGTACCAGCCTTTTCTCCTCGACCCTGTTTTCCAACCAACCAAAGTTCCTTCCTTTACAGAGGAGGAAGGAAACATCTACACCAATTGCTTATCCCAATTTCACACACCGGAAACTGTGCCGGAGTCTACTCTCCTTGGTCAACCCTCCAAGGTGATTCTTAGTGATGATAGTGAGCCTTCTTCTCTGACTAGAAAACAGAGTACTGACTCTTCTACTGTGGTGGATAAGATTGAAAGTGGTGAGCAGGTTACTCAGAATGTGAGTTACATGGGGAGGAAGAGGAAGAACAGAAATGGGTCTCCCTTGGGTTCTGATCCTGCCAAGGTAAATCATTTTTCGAATTTCATCCTGAAATCCAAGCAGAATATATGTTTGTCGATTTTACTCAGTGGTCCAGATTGTTGTGGATTAATGAATTATGCTCCTTTCTATTAGGATGCAGACTTTGTGTTTTTGGGTTTGCTTCAATTTTTCAGATCCTGTGTTCTTTCTTCTTGTTCTTGTGAGTTATAGGATGCAAGAGAAGTGAAAAGCAAGAAGCAGAAGAAGGACAATAGCTCCATGAAAGATGAAGAGAAAGAGGCAAAAACGGAAAAGAAGGATAAGAAGAAGGCTTCTGAGGAACCTCCAACAGGCTACATTCACGTAAGAGCAAGAAGAGGACAAGCAACAGACAGCCACAGCCTTGCAGAAAGGGTATTAGCTCTCTGTAAACTCTTGAATAGTGAATATGGAAAGCCTATTTTAGAATTCTTCTACCCCGCCAAAGCATCCAGATTCATATTTCATTGACATTTCTCCTAATGGGTTTTTAGGTAAGAAGAGAGAAAATCAGTGAGAGGATGAAGATTCTTCAGCGGCTTGTTCCTGGCTGTGACAAGGTGTGAACCTCACCTCACTATTTCTTTCTTTGTCTTGACTTTCTCTTCTTTCTGTCTTCTCAATTTAGGCAGAGATTGTTCTATTTCTGACTTCTTCATGTGGTTTGGTATGGAATAGGTAACTGGAAAGGCCCTAATGTTGGATGAGATAATTAATTATGTTCAGTCCCTACAGAATCAAGTAGAGGTAACTAATCCAAACAAAACAACATTACTATTTCTATTAATCACTAATTGCCCTTCTAATGATGTGTTATGAATCGAACAATGATGTTTCTTTCATGTTTTAGCTTCTCTCCATGAAGCTCGCTTCTCTTAATCCACTTTTCTATGATTTTGGGATGGATCTTGATGCCTTTATGGTCAGACCAGATCAGGTAACAAAGAGCTAAAAGTAAAAGGAATTAGAAATTCTTAATAGTTTATTTATTCTATTAACTCTAATTGTCAATTGGGCTTATAAAATCTTTGTCACTGACATAACTATTCAGAGATTGAACTGCATGGCATCACCACTGCCACCTCTTCAACAATGCAACCCCACTCAGGCTGCAGCTTTTGCTGATACAACCACGGCCTTTACCCCACCTAATAATAATTATCCCCCTATTGATGCTTCACCTTCACTTTTACTTCAATCTCAGGTACATCTTGATATTATTTGTGAAAAAATTCCAGGCATAGCATTTCTTTTGTAATACTGAGAAGCATATCTTTTATTTTATTCAGAATAATGGAAATGTAATGTGGGATATGGACGACCAGAGACAGAAGTTTCTTAGTTCATCTGTATTCAGTGACAGCTTGTGTTCTTTCCATTAAATGTTGATAGAGAGTGCTGCCCTGCAAAAACCAAACATCTGGTGGTAAAGCTCTCATGTCCTGTCCCTTTTGTAATAAAGTCACAAAAAAATCCCCAAAAATTCGTGTTCACATTTTCATAGCTGACATTTTCTCCTTTTCTTTTCCATGGATTTTGTCTTTCCAGGTTGCCAAACAGAGAGAAGGGAAACCCCATTAAGAATCAGATCAAGGCTTTCTCTTTTCAAGTGGAGAATGGGGATTCTGTTTCCCTGGAAAAACTCTAGTTCCAAATTCAACCAAGTAAAAAACAGCATCTGAAACATGAATAAAGGGCAGCAGCATAATCAATGGAGGAAGAACACCAAAGAGGACAAACATAAACCGACCAAATTGGACCATATCTTTTGTAGATCCCTTTGTTCTTGTCCACAGTATGTCTCTATCATGCACAAATTCCCAGAATATAGGGTGTTAATGTTTAACTTAGGATTAGAAAAGAGGGGAAAGCAGTAGTACTTGTTAATTGTTATGCAGTAAAAGTGTAATGTAAAGTATATATATTATATAATAAAACTGAATTCTTTTTCATGGTTACAGTTATTCCTGTTATTACAGTTACTTTAACTCTGATGTTAGGAAAGGTCAAAGGTATATGCTGTTTCTGTAGTCGACATTGACTGGTTATGCATTTGTTGGATTATGAGTAAAAGATGGAATCTTTTGTGTTTTGGAGGCTTTCTCATTGATGGGAGATTGATTTTCCTTTATATCCCACTCCTCAGCAAATTTATGTGGACAGAGCATCTAACTTAAATATAGACGTTCTTTCCATCTGAGATCAAATTGATTATGAGCAGCAACTTGTATGGTTTTTGTCTAACAAGTTGTATTTGCTTAACAGTACCAAAAAAATAATTGCTCTTTCCAAATTTCTAAATTTGGAGATCAAACCAAAAACAAAAAAAAAAAAAAATTCAGCCGAGATATTGATTAAATTCGGTATTGCATTTTTTTTTCTTAACTTGTTCTTCACATCCATACAAGATGTGAGATTGAAATCTCTTGTTTAAATTGGGAATAGTTGTGACTTAGAAGTAAAGCAATTTTTTATTCAAAAGATTCTTTTTAATAACAAAATAGTAAAACTTAACTGTTGAAATAAAATAATAAAAAAAACCTCATGACATAAGGCGATTTATGCTTTTTTTGTTTTTTTTTTTTCCCTTTTCCCTTTTTTCAACATAATCCTTGAAATAAAAAGAGAAGCAGAAGAAGAAGCAGAAATAGATTAGGAGCATCCCTAACTATTTAATTTACAAGTTGTATTGCTTAACAATACCAAATAAATAATTGCTCATTCCAAATTTCTAAATTTGGAGATTAAAAAAAAAAAAAAAAGATCGCAGAGACATTGAATAAATGCAGAATCTGGATACAGTACTTGATTAAATTAGGCATGACATTTTTTTCTTCTTGTTCTTCACATACATACTAGATATGAGATTAAAATCTAATGTTTAAGAAAAGGCAATCCCTACATTTAGAAGTCTTTTTAATAACAAAACAGTGAGATCTACAGGTTAAAGTGGAAAATAAATCATGATAGGAAGCAACTTGTGTTTTTATTATCCCTTTCCCTTTTTGCAACATAATCCTTGAAATCCAAAAAAAAAAAAAAAAAAAAAAAAGGCGCCGAAATAGATGATCAAGGAGCATCTCTAAGAGCTATAGACATGGTGTTTGGACAGCACTTGCAAGAGAACTATGCATGCATAATTCTTGATTAGACATAAATTGATTTGATTTGTTTGTTGAAATATCTTGAGTCATTTGAGGAAAAAGATTAAACAAAGGAATTTGAGGGTATGTAAAAGAATGAAGCATTTTTTATCTGTGTTGTTTCAAGTGGTACTGTCACAATCAACATAAAAATTGGGATATACAATGGCAATTAGAAAGCGATTAAGGCCTTACCATACTCAAATATATGATTTGATTTAAGAAGGTAATTACTTGATTTGATTAATCATCAAACGTAGTCACTAATGAATCTTTTTTTAGTATTGTTTCAAACACTACATAGTCTATCTGCATAAATAATTAGGAGGCATAAAGGCAATTAGAAAGCGATTATACTCTTACCATACTCAAATGATTGAAATATATGATTTTGATTTAAGCAGCCAATTAACACAAGAGGAGGGATAAAGTCCCCCAAAAAAGGCATACCATGCTTTCAAATGATAGTTGACTGATTTGATTAATCATCAAATTAAGTCACTAATGAAAGGATGACATTAGATTAGAGGGACCAACCAACTTAAATGTGTATGTGTAGATTAAAAAGTTGAAATTAAAGGGTATTGATAAGTGACTTTGGGTGAGAGAGATAGATAATCCATTGAGTTGCTTAAAGAGGTGGATAGTCAGCTATCTTTGCTTTAGCAATTGGAATGTAGACAATGGCATGTTCTACTTGTTTTTTACAATGACCCCACCTCCACTTGGTTATGGTAGATAACTTGGTCTTGGCACATCTTTTTTAATTAGTGCAAAGAATAAATTGGTCAATTGGATGAAGTCCCATCCATATAAAGATACATTGATGAGCTCTAGAACACCTGGGGGAGGGGGTTTAGTTCTTGATTTCCTTTTTCATCTTTTCCATCTCTCAATTGTCCTTGCAATATTAAACCCATGTATCTTATTCAAGTGGCAAGTTCTAAGCAAAAGAACTACAATTAATATCCAAAATTTGAAATGCACAATAATCATGGAGATGAAAATATTACTTGAATTTTTGATAGAATGAATATTATGCTTGGAATAAGAAAACTAAAGAGAAAGGAAAGGACATATATGAAACATTGTTTGTCAAATAAAATGGAAAAAATGTCTTATCTCTATCATTGCATTCCAGTTGTTGAAGAATTTGGATGGACCCAAAACTAAATTTGTATTTTTTAATTAAATAATAAATTATATAATAAAAAATATTACAACTTATCTCTATCTATCTCAAAAATTGACAAAAATTGAATATGAGATCTCTAAATAATAGTTTTGGAGTTTAGTTCCATGAATTTTAGTGTACCATCTAATGCAGTTGATGCTACAAGTAATAAGGAAAAGAAAATAGAGATTTTTTAAATTTGAACTTTAAAAGTATAATTAATATATGTTTTAATTAGTAAATTATATAAAAAATTTAAAAATTAATATCAATTTTAATATTAATATTATGTTTATTAATTTAATTAATTAATTATTAAAATTAAAATCTTAACTTTATTTTTTATATAACTTAATAATTAAAATATACATTAAATATAAATATGCATATTAGAAAAATTTTTAAAAATAGAGTTGAAATGAATTCACATTTTCACAATATCATAAATCTAATAAATAATGATTTAAATGTTAAAAATGATTGCTTACCAATCATTAAAACAGAAGTAGCCCACAGCCTCACAGATTTTGTCAATTGGCTTAAACCCTTTATCTGATGAGACGACACCACCTGGCGGCTGTCACAAACAATAATCAAAAGCGTGGAAAGAAATAATTAAGTGTTGCCATTTGCCAACTGGGGAAAAAAAAAAACTTATATTTTAGCATACAAAGTAGTAATAAATGTTGTGAACTTGCAGAACGTACAATATGTTGGTGGATCACACAATGATGCATTTGTTCTACCAGTCCCTCATTTTTTCTTTCTCCCCTGAATTTCCTTAGTTTCTCTTACTCTAATCATTTAAATTGTTTAATTTAGTTTCTCTAACTCTAATAGTTTAAGTTGTTTAATTATAACTATATTATTTTTGATATTAAAATATTTGCGGTTGAAATTCTATTTTGAAGAAACTTATATTTGTTTCCCACCCTTGTTGGCACGTCAAATATTTCTCTCAAACTTGCAAGAAAATAACCCTTGTCTTGAATCAACACAATTCGATCAATCCTACGATAAGTCTTCATCTTATGACCAAACAGATGATTATTAAAGATAGCACCGCCATGCATAAAGCCAGAGAAAGAAAGCTCTCAGATCACATAAACAAAAGCAAAGCAATACTATATACACCAACAACTGCCTTTAATATATATATATATACACACACCAACAACTTCATTTTGACACAAGCTTAAGTCCAACACCATATGTAATAACTACATATATATGTTTGATCACTTTCAGACACTTTATTTTCTTCCTTTCCTCTTTTTTGGGAGGATGCCACATCAGCTTACCCTGGAGAGTTCCTGGTTTCATTTTTTTATCATTACAACAAAAATTGTTATATATATGATTGCTAACACCATGTATGACCCATCAAATTCTTCGATCAGGACTACGACACAGCTAAGCACAGCTGGTGATGAGGTGAGCAAGGACGTGCCTTAATATGCAAGGGAGACACACTGTTTAAGCAATTCCATATGTAAAGAGTGAAGGTAAAAACTACAAAACTAACATGTATGTATGTACCAAAACAACTTGGGTGATCGATGTTTTAATGCTTAGAACTTTTGATTTTTTTTAACTTAGAGTTTTCAAATTTAAACTCTTTAGATGGATGATGTGTAAATTTTGAAAAAAGTGACAATTATTTCCCTAACATGTTCTATATTTCAAAAGGTGGTAACTTGACGCCATTTTTTTTTAATGGCAATAAAAAAAATTATATTATAATGGAGTAAAATGAGTGCTCCCAACCCACATACATCATAGATTCCTTCTCCCAGTTAAACTTTGATCATGTGTAGTTATAACTATATGTCGGTGTTGGGCTCAATTACAGCATTGCATCTAAGCTCACTACACTTATCTATCAGTAGACTATAACTTAGATTTTATTTAGTATGATTGTAATTTTGATTTTTTTTTTGTTTTTAAAATTTTAAAATTTTTTGAATAAAATTAAAAAGTTTTATAAATTAATTAAGTTTGAAGTTTGGGGTATTTGTAGTTTTAAAAATATATACCTAATAAATTACTAATTTTAGTTTTCAATTATTAATTTTGATTATTTAAATTTCAAAAAATAAAATAAAAACTAAAAATTACAATAATATTAAACAAAATCTTAATTATAAGGTTTTTCCATGTTGGATAAGCTGCTTAATTAAGTTTTTTTTTTTTCTTTTTTTAGCTTAATTTCTAATTAGTCCTTATAAGAGTGTAATGGAATAAAAGATAAAATAAGACTGTAGGAAGTCCTAGAATGAAACATCAGGAATTAAATTTTAAGCTTACTAAAATAATATCAGGATTAAATTGATACCAATGTAAGATTAGGGACTAAATTACCACCATATGTAAATTAGAAGTACCACATTGATAATTCAACCTAAATTCTCTTCTTATTCTTCTTATTTTTTACTTTATTTTATTTTTTTGCCTTTTCCCCCCGACTTCCTTTTCTTTCCCATTTCGTCATTTATTTCTGTACTCTCTCTTTTTCTACTTAACAGACACTGCGAAATTTCATGATGGGATGGAAGTCAGAAAGGAATTAAAAAAAAGAAAAACAAATTTCTTTTTGAGTTTCCTTCCCAAATTGTTCCCTTTCAAATTACAACTTAGCACGTATGAAGCCAAAAATCTAACTGATCTGTGATAATTTAATTTTTTTTCTTTTAAAATTAAGAAATAAGAAATTTTATAAATTAATTCAAATGGTACAATATATGAGTGAGTTGTCCAACACAAAGTGGCCTAGTGGCCATTCCCCTTGTAGGGGAGGTGTTAGGACATGAAGTCCTGGGTTCTATACCCAGGCACTACTAATCCCCATCCCCCAAAATTCCCTAAATTCAAAAAAATATATGAGTGAGTTGTATTGAATGATATGAGAAAGAATGAATCTAATTAATTTTGTAGTCCAAAATTAAAAAAAAAATTTACCATGTATAAAAAGTAAATTCTTATTTTTCTTATTTTTTATTTTATTCTCCACTCGAGTTCCTTTTCTTTCTTACTTCGTCATTTATTTCTCCACTGTGTCTTTTTCGATTTAAAAGATACAGCGAAATTTCTTCATGCAAGTTAGAAAGGAATTGAAGAAAAAAAAAAAAGAAAAACAAATTTCTTTATTGTTTCCTTCCCAAATTGTTCCTTTGCAAATTCGCACACATGAAGCCAAAAGCCTAATATGTATGCTATAATTTTTTTCTTTTAAAATTAAAATTAGAACTTTTTAAAATTAATTTAAATGGTACAATATCCAAACGGATTGTATCAAAGTACGAAAGAGAATGTATTTTATTTACTATGTAACTCAATTTTTTTTTAAAAAAAAAATTACCATCAATGAAAAGTAAGTTGTTTCACCGTGCAAAATTGACCGCCCCTTCTCGGAAATATCACAAAGACGACAGGAGACACATCGACATCAAGTCTCCGGCTGTTTTGGCACACTCCCAATACAAAAGCACACAAGAAATAGCCAAGTGACGAAGGAGACCATGGCATTTAATCAAAAATCGTTTACTAACTATAAGATAAGGAATGTGAGATTATCATGCATTGATTTCAACCACATCCCACTGGAGGAGAGAGGGACCAGCACTCGAATTTGGGATGGTAGTACTGCAGCCTATATGGGACAGGGGTCCACTGCGGTCTGCGGTTTACTTGGTAAACAGTACGTACCCCTAAGAGGAGAGAGCTAGCATGCAAAGCCCGCATGGAAACGGTCCCCTTGGAACATTGAATTGGCTTGTCCTTTGTCTTGTGAAGGTGATGTTGATTTAATTTTTGGATGTGGTTGAATGCAAGGCATGGGCTGTCCTGTGTCCTCCTAGACGTTGATTCCCCAATCGTTTTGTGTTCCATGTTTTATGCGAACAAGTTGATTTGTGTAATCAATTATAATATTTTTGTAATTTTTTTTAATAGAAAGCATAGTTGTATTATAATTGATTTAATAATTATAGATTATATCTCATCATATAAGCTGTATACAAAATATATCAAAAATAAGAATGGCCTATAATAATAATATAAAAAGTTATTGTTTTTACAAATAGGATGACTAAGCATTGAGAGCTTCTAAATATTAGTAGGAGCATCAATAAAGTTATATTAAGACTTAGAAAGATTACTTTAGAACTTTTTGTTCGCTATTGATAATCACATTTATTTTAGCACAAGACATTAGGGATTTGATGATATAATGTCTCCTAGCACTACAATATTCTGTTCAGACTCAAATTAATATCTAACCACATATGTATGAAAAACATCCACCTACAATGCCTCTGCAGTGCTTGAGTCATCAACCTAAACCTAGGTGCCTTTCCATGTTTGAATTCCTCTAGAATCAATTTCCGCTTTCCTTCCCTCTCCTTGTTCTTACTCGGTGATAGAACCAAATCCCTTCCTAATTTGTCCTAAGTCTTTCGTAGGGCATAGTCATTCCATTCAAAGGGACATATACTGTTGTTCCTCGAGCACTCTTTTTCATCTCCACATCATGTCATTATTGTGCCTCGGTCATAAGATTAAATAACATAATAATTAGTTAACTTATTAAAAAATGTCAATAAGAAAATATTATCGAAATAGACGTGAAAAACTTACTTATTTTAAGGCGGTTCACGCTTTTGCAGAGAGCAGATCAATTAATGCAGCAAAGATATATAAAACATGTTGCCTCCAGGATGCTACAGCCTTATAATAACACTTTATTGAATCTGCACTATTCATAGAGTCACCTAACTCAATATACTCTTCTTTACCTAAAAATATTTTGGAGAAAGAAGATGGTAAGAAAGTAGAAGAATGTGGAGGAGCACTATTTTTTTTGAGCAAAAAGACATGTTTTATTTATAGGATTCATGATCTTGTAACTTCCATTTTTAGGTTAATGATATGAATAAAATGGGCAATTATAATGAAATAATTTGCCTTTAAATAAGGTAATTAATCTACAACGACTAGTTTGACTAAGTTTTTAATAGAACAATAAATTCAATTTATAAAATATATTATTTTATCTTTTATTAAAATATTTCAATTCCAACATATACACGAGGATGGAGGCCAACACCTGTCACTCCAAGGACATCAGATCATCATCCTTCAGATCTGAGTATGTTGCTTCATGTGCCTGATCTTTGCCCCTTTCTCGGTTAGACATAGTTGGTGGCTAGAGGAATTGTATTGTGTGATCAGATCTGAGTAGTGCAATTGAAGAAGAGAGAGAGTTGTGTGGCACAAGGGGAGGGAGCAAAGAGGTCGCAAGCCACTTGTATTGCTATTGAGAAGGAAGAAAAGAAGAAAGGGGCTTTTAAGGAGAGGATAGAAAACCTCCGAAAAGAAGAGCCTAACTTAACCCTAATTAAGAGGCAGATTGATATTTTTGCAAGTTTCTTTATAGGCCTAATATAATTCAAGAATCAATTTTCTTTCTTTCATTTTAGGAATCAAAATTAAAGAAACTCAAGATGTGGAACATGATAATGCTCATCTCTTTCTTTGCCCCACCTATGTTCGATATGACTTGAATTTAGAACATTTTATTCTCAATGAGAGAGAAGATTATTAGTGCAAAGGACAAGCAAAAAAGACTAGTTTCTAACTGCTGTACAAGTCATTGGCATGGCAATGCTGAGTGTTTCCACCTATATAGCCTTATGGAACCCAACAAAAATGGCATTTTACGGAAGTTGGGGAAGCTGTCTGTGCAGCCACATTTTTCACACACTGCCCATTCCCTGCATCTAGTAGGAGACAGCACATGAAACCGCCGAAGACCACAGTCTAACATTTTGACCACCTCATGATAAATACGTTAACTTAAGATTAGGTGGTCCAACATTTATTCATCAAATAATGAATTCACCGTTTGATTCTTTGGACGGATTATAGCAAAACAAACAAAAAAAGAATTCATATAACATGCTTACAATCTAACTAACTTGATGATAACCTCTTTTAATAAAAATAAAAGATCATATGTTTGAGTGACACGAAATACAAGTGAAGTGAATTATGATATGAAAGAGAATTACTTTTTATTGTTCAACTTAAAAAAAAATAATAATAACAAAAGAATTCATATAATCTTCACTCTTTGAATAGATACTAAACTCATTACTTTAGGAGGGGTGGGGAACCTGAAGAAGACATCTTAGTCTCTTACCACCTGAAATTTGGGCTTCTAATTAGGATACCCAACAAAATAAGAATAAGCCGGTCCAATAAGTTTAGTTTTCTCTTCTAAAAAGGAACGGCCCAAGAACTAGAAGATATAAGCTGTGTGGCCTACTGGGCTTGATTGCAGGAACAAAACGATGGGCTCTGGGCCTATACGAGACTGTCCCATCTTCCACCCGTAGCGAAGAATCAAACGGCAATTCGAACAAACTCATCTCTTTCTTCCTGACAGCGAACCTCTGAATCGATTCAATTCCCTTTCCACGTTGACTCTTCAGACCCAAACCAAAGAAATAATCTTGTTCTGAAGCTGCATTTTCATTCTTTCCCACTTGAAAATCCCAGTTAGGTGAGGCTTCTGCAATTGGGTTTACTGGTAGCTTTAGCCTCTGGACTAGTAGCCATGGTCATCTGCATCACCGGAGTCACCACTCTATGTACGTTTCTGTGAATGTTTTGAATCTGAATGTGTTTATTGTGATGGGTTTTTGATTGGATGTGGTTTCGAGATGAAAGTAATGGTATATTGGATGAGGATGGGGAAGCATTGCAGTCGCTGCAGAGCGGCTTCCAGAAGTGTGTGAGTCTTCCCTTTCGAATATAATCGAACCCAGTTGCTCGGTTCTTGCAGTTGTGTTTGTTTCCGTAGTTAGTAGTTAAAGCATCCTGCTTTACTTAGTTGATACTTTCATTTTTCCGCATGCTCAATTTAGCAACCACACAACATAGAAGTTATATGTTTCGTGGAAAATAGAGCTGTATGCATTGCTCGGTTGATCTCCTCTTTTTGATTGTTATGCAGAGTGCAAATTGATTGGGCTTACAGGCTGCGAGTGGAAAAGATTATTGTCAAGTAACAATTAACTTTCCTAGTGATACTGTGCCCAAATGGGTAGGTTTATGACTTTCTGTTTTGAGTACTCTATTCTTTTCTTTGTTATCTTGTATACTTGTGGATTAGTTTTCTAATGTGAGTTGTTTGAATGTATCCATGAATAGAGAAATCTGAAAACCGGAGAACTTGAACGCTTATCATTTGAATTTAATCTTTGTGAAGTGGTGGCCACGTGGGAACAGGTGAATGTGCTGCCTTTGTTTTGCTTTCACTACATGTTGCCCGCAGACTGTTCTGAATTGCTTCAATTTTCACTCTTGATTTGTTATTTAGTGAGTTAAATACTCAGGTTTGGAATAGTACCACAATACTCACCACCAGGGAGTTCATTGATGCTTTACCAAATGGCTGGAAGGAGTATGCATGGTGTAGGATTAATAAGGGAATAAATCTGTAAGTTCTCTGCAAGGGACAAATAAATGAACAACTGTTTACACAAATCATGGATGCATAATATCTGAATATGGACAATAGCTATATGTAATGACATTATCCCTCTTACATGTGTGTAGAAAGAGATGGTTGATATCATAAATAATCACTCACTGGAAATAAAAGAAATGCCAGACTTTGTAATTGATGACTGTCCAAGAGATACACCATCAAGAAAATAGAAGGAAAAATAATGTGAGTAAACTTACATAACTCAGCCTATGATCAATTCCTTAGGCTTAAAGAAAGTAAAGCTTCTAAGAATGAACCCGAACACCTGAGTCCTGAGTATTGGAAAAGAATACTAATTCAGTTAGTATATAGATATCTCAAGTCCCTACCTTTTTTTTTTTCTTTTTTCTTTTTTCTGTTTTCACACTCAAAGTCAGCATCAAATTTAATTGTTACACTTGATACAGACAATTCTGTTGCCTGGAGATAAAGATCAACAAGTTATTGATGTTTTAATATAATTTTTAATGTTAACTTCTAAAGTTAATTTATGAGGTGGTATATTTTTCTCTGCTGATGACATATATCATTGCTGCATAAAGTTTGATGTAGTAATTTATGTGTTGCAGCAACCATTGTCAAAATAAAACCATTTGCATGGAGAAGCTTTCACTGGTTCTCCCTGAAACACCACCATATTTTCCATGGCAGTTTGTTCGGTGTGCTGTTATCGGCAACTTGGGAGATCTTTTAAAAACAAGGTTTGGGAAGGAGATAGATGCTTACAACGTTGTTATTAGAGAGAGTGGTGCTCCAATCCAGGTTCTTTCAGCAATCCTAATAGGTGCCACCTACTTTATTTCTTTTGCATTTAATTTTTCATTTTTCTAACATTTATCTCATGTCCTTCGCTGCAGAATTATGTGGAGTATGTGGGCAAGAAAAGCACATTGTGGCTTTTAAACAGGGGATCTGCAAAAGCTCTTGATAAAGTTGTAGAGTTAGATGGTATTATATCTTTTCACTTTCTATTAGAGCTATTGAATCTTGCTAAAAGTCCCACTAAATATTTGAACTTTGCAGAAGAGAGGTGGGAAGTTTTAATAGTCAAAACAACAATTCATGACATTATGAACAAGATGATTTCGGGTTTGTACATTGTTTTCTCATTCTTTTCTTCTATTTCAACTTTTAATATTTAACCCCTATATTCAAACTAACATAAACCTGTGAAACTTCTTGGATATTGCACATTTGGCAACATTTACACATTTTGAATTGTTTGATCAAGAACCTATCATATTCAGCTATTTGCTGGCATTGTCTAGTATTTTGCAACATCCTTACCCTCACTATCACTGCCACCTTTTTTCTTTAACCCATGGAAGTTTGTCATGTTCTCTTCTGCAGGAAGTTCCAATTAACAACCCTGTATATCTCACTTTAGGTGCATCCTTTGGTTCAGCTGCAAAAGGAACTGGACTCAAGGCTCTTGAATTTGCTCTCTCTGTGTGTGATTCAGTTGAAATGTATGGTTTCACTGTGGACCACAGTTATAAAGAATGGTATTTGTGTCAACTTTCAAACTGATTTTTATCTCCATCTTCACAAGTCAATGATGTCCAGCTGATGAAGTAACTTTTTCTCTGTTATCTCAAGACCAGATATTTCTGAGAATCCTGCAAAGGTCACACTCCTTTGCATGGCAGGGCTTCTGCCCTTCCTTCCTATCCATTCTGGAACCTGGATTTAATTAAAGTTCTGTTACAGAATAATAGGAAAAGCTCCTATTTCTGTGACTGCTAGTAAGGAAAGATATGCGTACTAATGCTTATATTTTATAAGCGTATTATAAATAGTTTTGCTGTGGTTGTCTTTATTGACATTTTCCTTTTTCTTGTCATTTTAAGCTGATAAAAATTCATTCTCCTTTGCAACCTGATCGAAACCAAGTAGTGAAGTTTGTACTGAATCATGACACCATCAGGGCTGCGAGAATTGTATCAGAGAAATTGTTGAGGTAATAATGTTGATTATCATTCTTCGTTTTGTGCTGATCAAAAAAAAAAAAAATCATTCTTCGTTTTGTTAGAATGTCATTGACTAATTTAACAGGTAATATAAAATACTGTGCGACTTATTTTACACTATGATCTCACTTAGCTCTTTTATCATCCATAAAAAAAACACACAACACACCTGTTAATTAAGAGTTCATATGCTATACATTAACTTGTCTGTACTTTAATTTCATTTCACAATATTAGTTTCTGTTGTTGTATAAAGCATTTATAAATATATTGATGATGTCTACGGTTTTCTGAGCTTTCCCTTGCCATCAGCCTCATTTTGAAGATGACCTGCAATTCTATATTCTTGTAGTGAAATAGCAATTTTGTAAACCGTGAATTAAATTCTTCAGTACAGTGCATTTCTTCATATTTCTTTCAATCTTATGGCAGCCATGTCTGTTTTCACTGAAAGCCAAGTACCAAGATATCTACCAAATGCAATATTTTCTCTGCAGGAGGGTTGGAGCTGAATCCGCAGATCCACTTGCTGCTTGCTCTATAAAAGAGAAACAGGTTAAAAGGAATCCTACGGTTGTTTCAAGTCTCAGAACAGCTGCTGTTGATCATCTAAAATTTGTTAAAGATGCTACCCTGTATCCTCTGGATCACAGTCCTGGACATGGTCAGCTTTGCATGGTACCAGCGGATTGAATCCCATGGTAACTAAACTACACTTCATCTTCTTTCCTGGAGCTAATTGATCAAAACTTTGAAATTATTTCTCAATATAGATGACGCAATATGAAAGATGAACAAGTAGAGACCACTTAAAGTTTCTCAACATTGGCCACACATTGCATGAACATTAAATTTTAGAGGTGCAATGGGGAAGAGACTGTATCCTTTTTTGGGGAAAGTGGAGGAATGTTATGTTGGAAACGGATGTTTCTCTCATCCAGTACTGTTGATTCACCTCTGCTTGCATTGGTGTAAGGTATTTGCACTATCAATTTAAATATTTTATTTGTTAAATATTTTATTTCTTCCTTTTTAGTTCTATAATTTTCTTTATTTTTTCCCTTCAAATGAAACAATTAACAGTTTCTAGTTTATTATCGAATTTTAATAATTAATAAACGTTGAGTTTGCATTGCTTAGCTCTAAAAAACTATAAGTCTTGTTTAAATAGATCTTTTGCATAAATGTCAAACTATGAGTTGCATTTATTAATTTGTTGTCTGAATTATATCAAATTATAAAATATAAATTAAAAAAATTTCTTATCTTATTTTACAATTATATACTAATTGAACTATAAAATACTCTCTTTTTTTTTTAATGAAATTTATATAAAATAATTGTAACAAGTTTAAAATGGAAAAGACAAGCATATCAAATTTAAAATCTTATTAGTGAAAAGGCATTTGTCTTGACTTCAACTTTGACTCCAACGAAATATGTATCACAATTTTGGATTCATTACCCATGAAAAATCATCAAAAAAAGGAGAAGTCTAAAAATGGCTACCCTTTAGGTAGGGGGACACGTGGCAACAACCCAACAACGCAATTGACACTCCTATTTGAACTCAACTCTCTCTCCACACTTCCATATTTCCTCTCTTCATTTTCTCTTTTTCTACACTCTGCTCAAGGTTATCGTGCCTCTGCCTCTCCCTCTCCCTCTACCCTCGGCTTCCCCCTGCCCCTCTGTAGGACAGTCTCAGCCCAGGTCGTAAATGGCGGAGATACATCCATCAGAGGGCCAGGTAAACGGTGCTGGAGGACCCCTGGTGGTGGGTTCATTGGAGACCGTCGGATCGAAGCGCCAAAGGCGGCCTAGCGTTCGATTAGGTGACATTGGTGGCGACCAGTCCTATGATACCCATGTGCGGAGAGTGTCTGGCGCCTCCGCCAAGCAGTGGAAGCACCAAGCTGACCATTCTTTGAATCCCTCAGCCGGAGCGAAATCTTCAAAGACTCGCGTTTTAACCAATCTGAGCTCTGACTACAACAATGAAACCCTCGGTGAGGACAAAGAAGGTAACATCAAAAGCAACAGTAATTTAGATTGCGTTGCAATAGGTAGCTGGAGAGTCAAGGATACTAAAAAGTGGGGTTCCTCTGTTACGAAAAGGGTTCGATCCAATTGGGTGTCTAAAGTTGACGATAGTGGCGGTGGCGGTGGCCGAAACGGGAGTAATAATAGCAACAACATGGAAGTGGAGGATAAGTACAGTAGCGGTGAGGATGTTGATGATTTTGATAAGGATAATTCTGAAAGTCCCTTGAAAGAACAAAGTCCAATCCATTCATTAGCCCATTTGGCTATGGATGGTAATGAAAGAGAGGTGCTTTATCATGGGAACAATAGCCAGAGGTCAACTCGGGCAAGGGTTTTGGAAAACAGGGATCATCATGATGGTATGGAGCTATCTGGGCCATCTGATACTGACATGAGGAGGTGTGGAGAGGATGGGGTGAGAATATGGTTGAATGGTTTAGGGTTGGGGAGGTATGCGCCAGTTTTTGAGATTCATGAGGTGGATGATGAGGTATTGCCATTGTTGACCTTGGAGGATTTGAAGGATATGGGAATTAATGCTGTTGGTTCCAGGAGGAAGATGTTTTGTGCGATTCAAAAGCTGAGCAGCGGCTTCTCATGAGTCGTGAGCTTCTTTCTTTTTTCAACTTGTAGGTTTTTGAAGGAGAAAATTTTTCAGCCATGACAATGTAAGATTCATGTCTGAACTATTTTGAGCCTCTTCAATATTTGCTTATAATTTTCTCTTTTGGAGTAGAAGAAAGTAGGAATGGTTCTGGAATGAGTAGGATCTTTAATGCAATTTTTGGTGCATAATCCAATGGCTATTCGACCAGTTAGTGCTAACAATCTCTGATAACTTAAATGAATAAATGATGGAATTTTTAAAGTAAACTTCTTGACAAAAGAAAAATATTTCAAGCATATTCCTAAATTTTCCTCACTTTCAATTGTGAAATGGAAGCAACTCATATGGTGGTAATCTTAGCATAAAAATGTGGAAGATTAAATTCAAGCCATCAAACCATCACTTGAAGAGTGTCTCTTTATTCTGAACTTATATTTTATGTTTAGAAGGTATCTTGATTATATTCTATTTTGATTTTCTTTGCCTTAACAATGAATCTTTGAGATTATATGTATCCAGCTTAGGCAATCGAAATATTTTGCAAGATCATAGCTACCCTACTTCCTTATCCTTGGAAATTGTGCTTGAGGTCACTTATGATCTAAGTTTTCTTGTCTATAAATAGAATGCTAAGTAATGTTTAGTAGGCTTTGTTTATTATAACCATCTAAATCTTTTATGGCTTGCTGCTCCCAGATGACAGTCACTCTTAACTTCAAATACCTAATTGTATGGTTGAACTGTTTTATGTTTGGGAAGAGCGAGTGAATGGTTTGAAGTTTTTTCTGTGCTGGATCTGTTACTGTCATGAGTCTTTTTTGTTAGATGAGCCTCATTCTATCGTTGTTAGTGTCATTGACAGCCCATTTAGGTTGGTTAAGAGCTGCAATTATGTTTGGATTATCATGAATGAAATTTTATTGGAACTTTAATGGTGCAGAATGATTATGCTTTCAAAGCTTTCATCTTATTAGTGCTCTTTTTTCCCTTTTTGCTGCTGATGTAATTACGCATGTATATGCTTCTTTTATAAGACTTTATTGCAGGAGAGGAGAAATCTTATGGTAAAATGTTAGATCTTGAAACATGTCACATTGAAAGAGATTATATGTTAACCTTATAAATGGATTAACAATGTAGTAAGGTGGAATCCTTGTGGAGCCCCAAGTTCGTTAGGATTAATTCTCAATAGAGACTGGCAGAATTAACAATTTTAATATGCAAAGCTGTATGGTTTATTTTACAAACCTTGAGAATTTTGCATTCAATTGGTTTTAGTCATTGTTCTTAGCTTCTTATCTGATCATCGAATTGTATGTAAGATTTAGCTACTGGCCTTTTTGTATCTGTTGCATGCTGATTTTGGTAATGTCTTCCATAGCTGCGAACATGCTGCATTAGTTATGCTAGTTATAGAAGTGAATATACTTCTTTCTAAATCCTATTCGTTCTGTCTTAATGGGTTTTTTTTTTATTTTTTTATTTTTAATAGTATGTCTTAAGGTCCGAACCTCTGATAATTTTTCAAAAAGTTCCATGCTAGAACAAATGTGACATCATTAAGGAATAATTATCAATTATTTTATAGTCTTTGCGGCTTATAAAAACACTAACAAAATTGCCCCTTTATCCAGTACTTTGAATCAAATTCAGTTATTTAGATTTACAATCTGCAAAGAAAAGAGTTTAACTATAGATACGTAAATCAAAAGGATGATTTGATGAAACAAAAACGAATTACATTGTTATCTGTACAATAAATTACCAAACTTCCATGATACAGACGCTCGAAGCAAGTAGGCACCTAGGATACTGACGCTATGGATCACTACAAATTGGAAACTTCTGTGATTCTTAGAGAGTACAAAAATCAAATGCAGAAGGATGATAATTTAATTAAATATTTAGATCAAATATAAAGTTCACTCCTAGACACTATATAATGTATTTGAATCAGTTTTATGATCCCTTCACTACTCCAACTTGATCATTTCTTTCTCCTGCTGCTGCTTTTTAGGCTCTGCAGGAAAGTATTTTATGCCAACCAGGTCTCCGACTTGACTGATAACCTGTTAGAGAGAATAAAATTATAATTATTTTCTTCTGTGTCATGTAACCTCAGAAACAATAAACTCAAACGTCCATTTTAAATCTACATTAAAACAGATATATGGTGCAATGAAATCTAACAAAATGCATGCCTAGGTCATTCTAAAGTTAGTTATCATGTAGATTAGGATCAGTAAGCTAGATTCAAAACATATAGGTGATGTAGAACCAGAGAGAAATAGAAGCAAAGGATGAAGAGAATTAGAGAATTTAGGATTCGCAAAATTACCTCAACTCATCAAAACTAATTGTAATGTCATAACAAGAGTATTTATAGGGTACAAAATGCTAGTTCCCAACTAAATACAAAAATAATAATAAAGTTCCTGAAATTATTAAAGTTACTAAATAAGCCCAAGTACTAAACTAGTACTTAAACTTCCTCTGAAAATAACACTGCTTAAAGCACTTGCATTCTTGAGGCGGTGTGCCATCAATAGGTAATCAAAATATCACACTAGTTGAAGCAGTAAAATAAGAAAGGGCATACTCACATCAACTGGATAAAACATCACCTGACTAGTTTGGATGGCTTATTTGAGTCAGGTCTTTCCAAAATTGGTAATAAATGAGAAGAACATTTTATAATTACCTCCAATGCTTTAATAAGGTCTTCTCTAGTATGAGATGCGGATATGCAAATACGTGCCCTAGCCAAAAGTAATGGGGTAGCTGGGAAAGTGACTGTAACAACAGCAACCTGTGATAGCATATTTGATTTTGGTAAGTGGTACCACTCAGCAAGGACAAGAACTAGACAGCTATAAACAAGGAGAATATACAATGTAGAATGTGGATCCTCAATGTCAAAATGATTATGGACTCACATTCTGTTTGAGACACTCTCGAGAAAATGCAGGGATTTTTGCAGGGTTGTAAAGCATTATGGGCATTATAGGGGAATCATTATCTCCGAGAACTTCAAATCCCATCTTTTGCAGCTCTGACCTGAAAAAATTGCTATTCTCACGGATTCTTGCAAGTTTCTGAGCCCCTACATTGACAGATAATTGCCTTCGTTCATGATTATAGGAATCCAAATGGATGTCCAACTTAAAATGAACACAAAGTGAAAGTTCAATGGATTTTTACACAAGAAAAGATGTGAATTCAATCATTATACCTCTACTGGAACCATCTTCTCCAAGAATCACTTTTATGGCAGAAATAATTTGTTGTGCAGCAGCTGGTGATATTGATGTTGCATATAGATGAGCTGGACATGTATACTTAAGATATTGTATAAGCTCCTGAAAATAAAATTAAAAGGAAGTTTGGACTTGATTTGAGTGTTTATAGGCATGATGTAGAGAACCAAGCTTAAATAGTGTGTCTCAGTGGAGCCAAAATATTTCTTCCTTACAATTTTTTTTTCTTTTCAACAGCCAAAGAAATTTCAAAAGATAATAGGAGAGCTGCAAAAATAACAAACCTTTGATCCTGCAATATAACCACCACATGACCCAAATGATTTTGTGAAAGTTCCCATCATAATGTCCACGTCAGCAGTGTCAACTCCTAAGAGTTCACATACACCTCTTCCTGTTTTTCCAACTGCTCCAATACTGTGAGCCTCGTCCAAATAAACATATGCCTGTAACAAATGGAATGAGAATACAAAACAAAATCTTAGATTACAGGACCATTGTTGAGATTCAATAAGAGAAGCTGTAGAAATCTAAAAGGTAGGGAGTAGCACAAAATATATATGCAGCAGTTATAAGTACAACGCTGGGTACAACCAATCTGCCTTGACTTCTTAATGGTGAAAAAAATCTATAAAATAAGCCGGATATGAAAAATGAAGTTTCAATTAAGACAGAGCTATCTGCCTCATTAGTCATCAACCCAGTTCAAGAAAAAAGAATGATGCAAGTGTGAATTATCATGATAGTTGCATCACCTTGTATTTCTTGCAAACAGAAACAATCTCTGGGAGTCGACATATTTCACCCTCCATGCTATAAATACCTTCCACAACAACAATTATCTTCTTCCATGGTCTATGTGTCCTTGGTTGTCCCTCAGCAATTTGTTCTCTTAGAACTTTCTCCAGATGAGATGGTGCTGAAAGAAATTTTGCCAAGAGTGAAATATTTACACAAGGATGCTGATTTGTTTCATAACATAAATTAAGCTCCAAACATGGCAAACAACTTACTATTATGTTGAAAAACCCGAATTGTAGCTCCTGAGCCTCGAGCACCATTGACAATTGAGTTGTGGTTTAATGAATCACTAATTATCAACCCTCCCTGTGGATATATCCAAAGAAAAAATAGGTCTGCAATAATTACAAATGTGGAATGCAATGAATAAAGAAAAGGTTGAACATGAACCTCAAGATAAATTCATACTAAGTATAAATACATGCCTTTCCAATCAGGACAGGAAGGATAGCTGAGTTAGTAACATAACCCATGCCAAAGGCAATAGCAGCTGGCTTCCCAACATAATTTGCAACACATTCCTCCAGTTCTGTATGAACTGTTGTAGTTCCTGGTGGATTTGAAAAACAAAAAGAAAAGGAAAAGGAAAGTAAATGCATCAAGGGATTTAATATGCCTGATTCCTCTGATGGCTAACCTAGAGAAACAGCAAGCAGAATGAAAAATGTACCTCCATCGACACGAGAACTACAGGTACTTGCCGAAAATCTCTTTAATGAATCAATCGCCCGTGGTGTGCAATATTCATCTGATGCAGCGAAGCCAAGATAGTTGTATGATCCCAAGTTAAGACATCTAGTTCTCTTCTCAGTACGTCTGCAAGACAAGAAATTTAACCAACAAAGGTTTACGATTTTAACTTTTAGAAGTCAAAACATTTTAACTTAAAATACATTTGTTGCACTCCTCTAAGATGTCAAAGAATAGTATAATTATACAATAAACCAAGGTCCAGGGTCAATTTAAGCTACAGTTTGCTGAAAACATAACAGAGGACTCACTTCAATGTTTTATTATTGTCATTAGAATAGCGTTCAACCACATCAAACCAAGCATCAGGTGCGCTTGATATTGGTCGTCCAAAACAATCCTAAAGAAATGAAAGTTCAAGAAATGATTAACTCAACACCACGACAAGGCCAGTCATATTAGGAAAAATATGGTGCAACCATAAATAAAAAAAAAAAGAGAAACCCATTTTTAACTTGTTCTATAATGCTTAAAGTTCATACTTGCCCACTAAATTATTGCCCAGAAGATAGGACCTAAGTTGCTGAATCTCATTTTTTTTTGCATATACATAATAAACTGAACTGCTTCAAATCAAATTAATCATCAAACTCCCTTCATAGGATAGTAATAAAGCATTCTGCAAGTGAATTCGGAAGACGAGAAATAAATAAAATAAGGATTCACAAGAAAATACCTGAATGCGAAGGTATAAGCGCCGAGTATAGAAATCCTCAAAGTCTAAACAGATCGGTGCATACCCCTACAAGATCACAAACATACATTTATCACGCCATCAAAACCTAAACATGGATAAATTCAGACATATACAAATGGAAACCTGAAGATTGTTAGTACGCCACCAATCGAAGATCTTCCTGAAGAAATCGCGAAATTGGCCGAACGCGAAGAGCAATCCATAGCTGAAATGCGTGGTTAATGCGGTCAAATACGGAATCTTAATCATTTCTACTCTCCTTTCCAAGGATTTAATGGAAGAAAATTCTGGAACTGGTAATCAGGAATCGGAAGAATAGGGGAGAGGAGGAAATAATCGGTGATTGGAAATCTCTGAGGATGGAGGGAGAAAAATCGCGGCAAGCGACAGTGCGTCTTTGTCCAACTAAAATGTCAAATGGGCTTAGGTGGCCTTACGCC